GAACAGTGTTCTTGAAGGATTTATGAATTTTTGAAGGGTTTAAGGCCGTAAACCCCTTGAAGGGTTTACGGCCGTGAACAATGTTCTTGAAGGATTTATGAATCTTTGAAGGGTTTACGGCCTTAAACGGGTTTACGACCTTTGAAGATTTGAAGGTTTGAAGGGTGTACGACCGTAAACTCAAGAACAAGGATGTTGAATTCGATGAAAAACGCGTTTTTGATGCTCCAAAACAACCTCCAAAGGTGATTCTTGATGATTTTCGGAAGAAAAGAGGGTATTTTTGGTGTTTACGATTGAGAGGTTAGAGAGAGAAGGAGAGACTTTTCGGCCAGAAAAGTGTAAATGAGGGGTAAATGCTCATATTTATAGGGGGTTTCCATGGTCGGTGGTGGGGCCACCTGTCGCTGGCCGTAAACAGGTGTACGGCCGTAAACGAGTTTACGGTCGTGAACATCACTCAGGCCAGGTGTGACGGTAATGGTCAACATCCGAAGACTTTTATTCTTGTTCTTCTTGTGATACTTTGTTCGGGTGTTTAGATTCTGGATGTTCTTATACTTTTGTAAAATATGGTTATATTTTTAAAGTATAATTCTTGGTCAGAGTGTTTTATCCCTATGTATTTATAGGCTGTATATCTTTTATGATTTGATATACTGAGCTCACTATAAACAATGCTCTGATACCAATCTGTCACACCCCAAAACCGAGAACGGCGGAATACGTTCTGGGGTGGAGGACGTCATGTCAAGTATCACAACATATGCAGTATAGTAATCAAAGTACAACAACAATTGCATTAATAGTAATAATTTTACATAGGTTACATTTAGCAACAACATCAAAAGTAAATACAGAGAATAACATAGATGCAGCTTGGTACTAGGCTGACTTCGCAAAAGCTCCCGGAGTGTACCTGTCTACGGATGACCTGAGAATACAAGTTATTTTGAAAGCGAGTATCAGCATTTTTAAATGCTGGTGAGTTCATAAGTATTTAATGACATTGGTATAAATACATGTTTTATTTCAAAATAATCTCACACAATGATGGTGGTTTAGAATCTACAGAGTATTAGAATTCCTCTTAGAAAATCCTATATTTTCTAATGAAAGCAGTCTTCTACCAAGACCCAACTGTTTATGTTTAAAAGAATGAGTTTCTCTATTAAAAGCAGTCTTCTACCAAGACTCAAACGTTTTATGTTTAAGAAGCATTTTCCCTTAAAAGTACTATCATTATCAAAATATAGTTTATACTTTAAAGAATATGTGAGAAGATCACAATCTAAAGTAATAGGGAAAATAATATTTTTACCTCAGCAGTAACGCTGCTGGCTAAAAGTAAATAACACATAGACTCCAGATGGTATCGAATGAACAACACGCTTTGGAGAGTCTAAAATAGTAAAATACAGACTCCAGACGGTATCGAATGAACGATACGGCTAGCAAAGTCTAAAACAAGGAAAAATACAGACTCCAGACGGTATCGAATGAGCGATACGGCTAGCAAAGTCTAAAACAAGGAAAAATACAGACTCCAGACGGTATCGAATGAGCGATACGACTAGCAAAGTCTAAAACAAGGAAAATACAGACTCCAGACGGTATCGAATGAGCGATACGACTAGCAAAGTCTAAAACAAGGAAAAATACAGACTCCAGACGGTATCGAATGAGCGATACGACTAGCAAAGTCTAAAACAAGAAAAATACAGACTCCAGACGGTATCGAATGAGTGATAAGGCTAGCAAAGTGTAAAACAGCCTTTAATCCTATGTGGGTTGGTTTAAAGGTTCAGAACATTGCCTAGTGTATAACTAGGAAAATAGGTTATGATGGTTTCATATATAGAAAATACAGTGATAATACTTATTACCTTAAAGCCATGAATTATAAGGTAAGTGTAAAGATACCCGTAACCATACTGATTGACAATCGAATACTTGACGACCTGCAATCGTCGGAATGAATGTGACATTTGTCACCCCTTGGCTTGGTCGGCCGGGACTGTAGCTAGCAGTCAGGATGTGAGAGTGTCTGTCCCGTATAGATCTATACACACAATGCCCGCTCTCCCTCCAGGAGACTCTGGTTACCAACTTGACAACGGTGGAATCCGCGTCATGAGGATGTATCTCTTGTTTTGATTTCTATAACCTTTCTCTTTGTTAAAAGTATAAGTGTTTAGAATATAGATATAATTAGGTTCTCCTTTATGAATGTTATGGTTGGTTTCTAAACTATACCTATTATAGTTTACTTGGGAGTTATCTAGATGCCTTTGCTACCCAAAGGAAATGAACTGGCTGAGAGAACTTTTATGACTATATATGTATACATGATATATAACTAATATTTAAACGACCTTCGGACGGATAACCAATACCCTAGAACCACATCCAAACAAGGAAAAGGAGGTAGGGCGAGTTAGCCTTCCTAAGTCCTTTAAACATTACTTATATAACTATACATATACAGGCATGCATTTAACAATATAAAAGCATAAAAGAAGTTTTGGTAAAACCTTTGGGAAAGCTTTGTAAATAAGAATTTATGACTCGAGGTCAGTTTATAAACAAGCTTTGAAAACCTTTGGAAAATCTTTAATAATCTAAAAAAGGGATATTCATGTTTTAAAAGAGATTTGAAAACAAGATTTGGAAACCTTTAGCTGGATAAAGCAGTTAATCATGCAAAAATCTATTTGCTATACAGTTATTAATCACATGTGATTGATATAATAACCCTATAGTTCAACTTGTATTCCCCCCCCCCCCCCATAAAAGCATTTAAAAGGTTAATTCAGGGGTATGAACTCACTTGACGTGGGTGATTCGGATGAACGGACGGTATAGGATGCTATGTGTCAATTGAGGATTTGAACACACACTCGGATCCTATTTAACAAGTAATGACACATTTAAGTATCTAATTAGTCCTTTAATAACTAATTATGCAAGTAAATACATCCTAGTACATGAAAACACTTTGCTACAAGTGCTAGGAGTACTAAGAATTGCATATGAAGAGTGTATGGCCTCACATTGGAGTTTACTCCTCAAATGGTGGCCCTTAGGGGTGTTTACGGTTCTGGGACCACTTCCCCCATGAGTTTACGGCCGTAAACTCATGGAAGTGGTGCCATGGGGTGTTCAAAGGTCTTATATCACTCAAGGAATTATGCTAGACTCGAATCAAGGGCTAAGGAAGTGACTAGGGCTCGAAATGGACACTTTTTGGAGTTTACGGTCCTTGGACCACTCCCTTGGGAGTTTACGGTCGTAAACACATGAGTTTACGGCCGTAAACCCATGTTTATCCATTCCTTTCGTGTTTTGGTGGTTCTAGGCTATGCATGCAAGGTTCTAGTCACTTATACAAGCCATAGAAGGTGTTAAGGGCACTTAAACACCATTGGAAGGTGTTTACGGTTTTGGGAGGTCTCCCCAAACCATAAACTCATATGAACATGAGGATTTGATGATTTTCGAGTGTAAACAAGTTCATACTAAGCACACAAGAAGCTAGGGCAAGTGTACTTACGATTTAGGAGCTTGGATGATCGTTTTTGGCCAAGAACACTAGTGTGTGTTCTTTTTTTTTTTTTTGAAAGAGCCAAAGCTCAGCAAACTTTATTAAAAAGAATAAAAGAATACAAAAACAAACGGAAATAAAATAGTCAAACAAAATACAAATCTAACCAACCTATCCATAACCAACTACCAAGCCACTTTTTAATAACCAGACTTAACCACCCAAAACCCCAAAAAACCTTATTATCCTTAAAGCTAGCCCAAAGACTTATTGAAAGTGGGAAAAAAGGTAACTTCACCCCCTTGCACCACCAAAATCCCCAAAGATCATTAATACCTAAGCAAGGGGTAAGGCCCTTAAAAAAACCCACAGTCCGAAGGCCAAGCTTTAAGAAAAAACCCAACAAAACCACAATACTCCCTACACAATACATAACATAGAACCAATAAAAGATAACACAATTATAACACTCATAATTGTAACTATAAAAAAACCCCATCAATTTATCAATCCCGCATCTTCTGTCACTTCTCCTCTCATCAATCCTCCACTTAGTCTTCAACAGAAAAGACTCCATCTGCTTGCAAACATTATCCAAACCCGACCTTTGCAAAAAATTCCTGCATATCAAGCACAAGCCAAACCACAACAAACTAACACCAAAACTCCAAGAAATCAGAACAAGTTTCATACTAGACATGGCATCAATCACATGTCTAGGATTCTCCATTTGGGTAATCTCAATAAAGATCATATCCAAACAGAAAATCCCATAGGTACAAGTCACATGATTTGAGAGCAAACTCTCAAACCAGTAACACAATCCGTCAATTCCTTTGTAAAGAAACTTATTCCAAAAATGCCCCCACCAATCCACAGCATTAAGATCACCAAAGTTAAACATCCTTCTATGCCAACCCCAAAACCAATAGCCACCAACCAACAAACTAAAAAACCAGAAAATAGCATCCATTACTTCAACTTTTTCCATTCCAGAAATACCCCAGGCCTTGAAAACTTTATCATTGACCATCTTAGCCTTTTTCCTCAACCCCAACAGCATTAAATGTATTTCACTTTCAATACAAGCAATCAGCCCCTTATACGAATTTCTCCTGTTACTAAATAGTCTAGAATTTCTCTCCTTCCAAATATGTGCAACACAACTAGCAAAAACACATTTATTAACCAAATTCTCACCAGAATTCCTTTTAAACAAACTGCACAGCTTCATAATCAATTCATTCCAATCATCCATAAAAAGATTAAGACCCATCTTATTACAAAAATACCTCCAAATAAGTTGAGAATAATCACATTTAAAGAAGAGATGAACATGTGAATCAGGAGTAACAGCACAAAAAGGACAAAGTAAGTTACCAGAAACTTCCCAACCTCTGACACGATCCTGGGTCTTCAATCTATTCAAAATAGCCATCCACAAAATAAACGAATTTCAAGGAATGCAATTACCATACCAAACAATATCATGCCAAGGAACTTGGTCTTCAAAATTATTTATATCACACCACACCTGTTTGCATGAAAATTGTTTACATATTCCTTTCTTATCTCTCCAACCTGCAACATCCCTCAGATTAGGCTCAATACAAAACATGGGAGCATCCTTCAATCCAGGGAATATATTAACCCACTCAACCGGCCAAGTATAGCAATCATAGACTAGAACATCACTGACCACGGAAGAATCACTAAACCCATTGCTAACCCAATCTCTTCTAGATATAATAGAACATAAAATACCAATTGGGTGCCACCAATCATGCCAGAGAGAAGTATTCATCCCGTTTCCCACACACGAAACAACATGGGGCCTAACAATTTTTCTCACCTCAAGGAACCTCTTCCAAGTCCAGCTCATACTCTTCTTCTGCAAAATATCCCAAAAATTCATGTTTCCAATGTAATTGGATTTCACCCACTGAACCCACAGAGAATTTTTGCTATTAATCACATTCCACACATGTTTAGCTAACAAAGCATCATTCCATTTCCTTAAATTCTTCACTCCTAAACCACCATAAATTTTCGGCTTACAAATATCATTCCACTTGACTTTAGCTTTCCTTTTGACTACCTCACCATTCGCCCACAAGAAACTTCTACAAAGCTTTTCAATCTCTTTAATAGTAGCAATGGGAATTTTAAAAATCGAAGCCCAATACACATGAATAGATGTCAAAACAGAATTAATGAGCTGCAGCCTTCCAGCAAACGATAAAGCCTTGCTTTCCAATTGAAAATTCTCATCTTAATCTTCTCAATAAGCTGTTTACAATCTCTATCAAATAATTTTGTAACGCACATAGGAATTCCCAAATACTTAAAAGGAAATCTCCCAATATCAAAAGGAAGAATGCCCAAGATAATCCTTCTCATATTGGGTTTAACACAACTGAAGAAAATCTGGCTTTTTTCCATGCTCACCTTCAACCCTGAAACTTTTTTGAACTCATCAAGAGCATCCCTTATAACTCTAGCAGAATTCCCATTTCCATAAGAAAAAACTAACAAATCATCAGCAAAGCATAAATGAGTAATTTTAAGGGACATACACTTACTATGAAACTTAAAATTCTGGCCAGCTTCAATTTTCTTCAAAAGGATGATATTAAACACCTCCATAACTATAGTAAATAGGTAAGGAGATAGAGGATCACCCTGCCTAAGACCCCTCTTTCCTTCAAAATACCCATGATCTTCACCATTAAAGTTAAGCATGAACCAAGGAGTAGAAACACAAGCCATAATCCACTGAATCATTATCGTATGAAAACCAAACCCCTGCAGAATTCTACTAAGAAAATTCCAATCCACCGTATCATATGCCTTTTGAATATCAATCTTTATGGTGCATTTGGGAACTCCCATCTTATTTTTATACCCCACCATCAGCTCCAGAGCAAGGAGAATATTATCCACAATAGATCTTCCAGGAATGAAAGTTGATTGATTTTTGCTCACAATATCACCCAAACTATTTCTAATTATGTTCACTATAATCTTACTAATACATTTATATAAAGTGTTACAGCAGGCTATAGGACGGAAATCAGAAACTTTCCTCGGGAACTCCACTTTAGGAACCAGCACTATTCTCGTAGCATTAATCCCCTTCAACAATTTACCAGTCCAAAAAAATTCCCTCACAGCTTTACACACCTCCGGCCCAACAATGTTCCAAGAACTTTCAAAAAATTTGGAGGAGTACCCATCAGGTCCAGGGGCACGATTTTCATCAATATCAAACGTCGCCACTTTGATTTCTTCATCAGTCACCACTCTAATCATATTAGCAGCCACCCTACTATCCAATTTATTATGAAAGAAACCATCATTTAAACACGAAAACTCAGTAACATCTTTACAACCCAAAAACTTATTGAAATGAGTAACAAATTTATCCTTCATAGCCTTCCCACTAACCCATCTTCCATCTTCATCAATAACCATCAGAATACGATTTCTATTGCCCCTGCTCTTCACAACTCTATGAAAAAACTTTGTATTATTGTCCCCTTCCTGTAACCAATTTATCTTAGATCTGTGGAAAAGAAGCTTTTCTTCATCATTACAAGCAACATTAAAATCAAAAAGAATATTAGTATGCTCCTCCCTAATCTTACAATCAAAAGGATTAAGATCAATTTCAGATTGTTTACTTTCCAACTCCTTTCTTAACATTTGGATTCTCTTCCCAGAACCCCTGTGCTTATTGCAAAGCTCCCTACAATGCTTTTTAAGAATCTTCAACTTTTGGCACACTTTGAACATAAAAAAACCTTCAATATTAGCATCCCAAACTTCCTTAACCAGGGGTAAGAACTCCACCTTTTCAGTTATAAAATTAGCAAACCTAAAAGAAGGTTTCCATCTCAATTTGCCAACAGGAACATTTAAAATAGCAGGACAATGATCCGACACCCTATAAGGTTTAAAAACAGCATGAGCTAAAGGATGATCCGAAACAAATTTCAAATTGGCCATCACCCTATCTAACTTCTTCAAAAGGCCCTTATTCCCAGCAGGAGTTTTATTCCAAGTAAACTGAAACCCAGAGGAATTCAGATCCTCAACTTCAATAAAGTTTATACAGTCAATAAAATCATCAACTCCTTTAGGCGTTTTGGAACAACCTTCAGAATATTCTGATGGTTTTAAAGCAACATTAAAATCACCTAATATTCCCCATGCTTCCTTCTTAACAACCAAACTATGTTTCTTCAAATTATCCCATAATAACCTTCTCTCAAGATAATTCGAAGCAGCATATATAAAAGACAAATACATGCTATAATTGGAATCACAGAATCTAACATAACAGTGAATAACTTGTCTAGACTGAGAAATCACCATCACATCAAAAAGTCTTGGATTCCATCCAACAATTATTCTAGTTCCAGCCTCACAGCTACTATTATTAGAAACCCAATCCCATTGACCAAAGGTCTTAACACAAACATTCTTAAGATTTAAGACCTTGACATGAGACTCCACCACAGCACATATACCAAGGTTATTACTCCTAATAACATCAATAACCTCCTTCTGCTTAATAGCTTTATTCAAGCCCCTGACATTCCATACCCCTATAGACATCATTGGGAAATAATAGAGTTTTTGGCATTTACCTCCTCAAATGCCTTAGAAATCCCATCTTTGCTTTTACTATTCCCCTGAACCATCATACTATTCTTTATTTTATTACTTTCATTCCCTACATTACCCTTCCCAACAAACTTAGAAGGATCCAACTTATTATTCATTATTCCAACAACATCAGAAGAATAATCAACACAATCACCTTCCTGATAACCATCAACTTTGCCTCCCTTAGCATCCTCTTCCATTCTATCCATAACTTCCTCATCAATCCTTCCCAGGATTTCAAAACTATTTTTAATACTACAACCATCACTAGAAACAGTCTTATTTTCTAGACTCTTGTTAACACCCACTTTTATGTTATCATCCTTTATAGCATTCCCCTGTATCTTATTCTCCATTTTCCCCTGATTACCAACCAAAGCCTGACCATTAACAAACTTCTCATATCTTCTATTCTTTTCCAAATTCCAATGACCCACCCCTTTATTATTCCAATTCCCATTCTGTCCCCTTCCATTACCACCTCTATTCCCATAATTGCCTCTGAAATTATTTCCCCTGTTCAAATTTCCATTCTTCCCACTATATCTTTGATTATACAATTGAGCATGACCCTCCTTAGATTTACTAGTACCTTCACCATCATTATTTCCTGCAACCTTCTTATAAACAACCTCCGTAAATCCATCATCATTAACCATTTCCTTCCCTTTATTTCTCTTATTGTTCCCATTATCCCCATTCTTTACCACTTTCTCTTCATTCAAAGCTGCCAAACAAACTTTATCCGTATGCCCATAAACCTTACAGTGATTACATCTAGAAGGCATCCAAGCATACTCCACATCAAAACTCTGAACCACAGCAGAATTAGTAACAAAATCCCAAGTAGAAACCTCAATTTTCCTCATCCATTCCTTATCAGCCGCCATTTCAACAAGAATTCGAGCATAAGCGTTTCTACCCTTGTGTTCCAAACACATCTCCTCAGTAAAAGAATCAAAAGCCAGATGCACCCCCAACTTACTCGCTATAATACACAAATTCTCTCCACTCCATACTTCCAAAGGTAAATCAAAGATTTTGATCCACACCGGAATTTTATCATGACTATTCTTGGTTAATTTCAGACCTGGTCTCCACCTTTGAAGAAATAATGGCATATTATTGAACATCAACCATGGGCTTCCCTCCAATATAGATAACATCCCCTGCTCATCACTAAATTTAAAAAATAAAAACCCTTTACTGTTCATGAATATCTCTTCAAGACCCACATTCTTCCATAGCCTTCTAACCTCTTGCTGAATCACAGGAAACGCTAACTTCTTATCAATCATATACCCATATAAAGTATTAGTATATGGAATACTCGCTTTCTTTAAATTCTCAATCGGGATAATAATAGGTCCTTCTTCTTTGCCTTTTCCCCCTGGAATAAACTTGACATCAATCTTACCCTTATGTCTATTACCTTTTAACACACCTGCATAAGAGTTCAACAAGTTCCCCTGACTATCACCATCCACCTTTTTACAACTATTAGCATCACCCAAAATAGAAGGAAGCATATTAATACTATTAATAACAGTACCAGACTTCATCTTTAAACTAGGCTCTTTACTCATCTTAGTATTAACCTCCTCTTCCATCACAATTTCCTCATCTTCACTAGACTCATCCTCACTAGATTCATCTTCCCCATCCTCTTCAGACGAACCATCATCTTCAGAATCATCTCCTTCCTCATTAACTTGCTTATTCAAATTTGACATATCGACATCCATTTCCTGATTCAACTTACTATCTAAATCCTTCCTCTTAGGTGTTTCCACCTTCAACTCATTAAGAAATTGAAAGCCAACTCCCGGAATAAATTCTTCATTACTGATAACCTTCTTATCACCATTAGATCTAGACTTCTCAACTTCATCATCAACCAAATCAGGGCATACAGGTTTATTGACATCAATCACAGCAATGTTAGGATTCACCTTAATCATTTCACTAGTAACACTCTTCAATTCCGAACTAGGGCTCAATAATTCATCATTCACCTTAGAACCATCCCAAGTTTTCAACAAATTAGCAGTATTACCTGAAGGAATAGAGACAACTTGAACTCCAATAGTCTTCATCTCACCAGAACCCCCATCCTTCAACCCCTTCATATTGCTATCATTTCCAGGAATTGAAATATTAGAATCCGACTCCCAAGCCGATACAGACTCCGAGTCATCTTCCGTTTCCTCCTCATTAGCTTCTTCAGTGTAGTATTCCTTTGCATCCATTAGTGATATCCCATCCACAATTTTCTGAGCTCTGTTCTTCACTCTGAAAGCTTTCCCCTCTATTTTCCATTCAGCTTTTCCAATCCCCGAAGCAACAGCTCCAGAAGCACTTGGCTTACGACGAGCTTTATAAATCCTAGCTGAGGACTGATCAATGACCCCAGGGGGAACTAGATCTTTCACATCCACTTCAGTCCTAACGTACCGGACAGCAGCACTTTTATCCGGTGGCTTAACTTTCACTTCCTTCAATCGATCCGCTTTAGATGACGCACCCATTAGGACAACGGAAACAGAAGAGAAATTGCTTCAACGACTAAATGAAATTCGTCGGAAAAGCAGCACCGATGAACCAAAAACTAGACCGCACCACCGATAGAGAGAATCAGGGGAAGAGAGAGAAAGCACCGATAGTGTGTGTTCTTGGTGTTCTTGGTGTTTTGAAGAACACTTGAAGATCTAGATAAAAACCAAGATTTCATGGATGAAATGTTGTATAAACACTAGATTAAGTGTTATATGAACGAATCTAGGAAGAAAAGGCGGATTTGACGGAAAAGAAATATGATACTTGAGAGGATTTCTTGAGTGTTCTTGGGCTAGGAAGTGAAAAATGAGTTAAAAATGACTAAGTGTCATATTTATACTCTTCGGGGTTTACGGCCGTAAACTCCATTTTTTTACGTCCGTAAACTCTAAACTTTTGGAGTTTCGCGACTTATGTGATACACGGCAAACTCTAAATTATACTTCCTTATTTTTGGTTCGCTTGACGAATATAAAATAAAATATTCAAACGGGCTTAAATCCGGCCAAAAATGTTTTGAGATGAATTTGACTACTTTTTGAAGTGCTTGATTGCGGAGTTTATATAAAGGGAAATTTCGGGTTGTCACATCATCCCCCCGTTAGAGGGAATTTCGTCCCGAAATTAGAGTTCAAGCACACATACGCAGATGAAATTGAGTGAAGCCAAAGACAAGGATGCTTTAGACTCAACAGGTCTTCTCGCTCCTAAGTGAAATTAGGTCTTCGCTTGGCGTTCCAGCGAACCTTTACTAATGGGATGCGGATTCATTTCGATAGTTTGACCTCTCGGTTCATGATCCCTTTGGTTACTTCTACGAAGTTGGGCTCTCACTGATTTCCATCTTGACGAGTGGGGTTTCGAGAGTCACGTCGGACAAGTACTTTTTCAAGTCTAAGACGTGGATAGATTTGGGTGGAATTTATGGAATTCCAAAGAAATTGAGGTCTGACGGAAGCTGGACCAATTCTTATCAAGAATCTCGGATGGTCCTAAGTTTCTTTGGGAAGATAGAATGTTTCAGTACTTAGAACATAATGTACTTCCATGGTTAGATCATCACTCGGCGTGATCGCCACTCTGAAGTTCCAAAAGTTCTCTCTCACTGAGGGCGTAGTTCCCGGATTGGTTCCTAGAAGGCTCAGGTCGTCTTCGGATTCGTATTTCCTACTGATTGGCTTTCGGAGGTTTTCTGGATCATCGGATGTAATGGCTACATACTGGTACTTATTGGTTGCGGAATATCTATCTCGACATAGTGCAAAAATGGACTTGCACTTCCGACTCTCGAGGTGTTTCTAACGGAAACTCTCAAAGTCTGTGTGATAGGGTTTTACCAGACGATGTTTAGAAAGTTTTAATTTTCATCATCGTCTACTAGATGCTTTCACAGTACGATCCCTAACTGGAAAGAATCATGCTCGTTTCGCTGTTTCATGGATAGCAGTCTCTGATCAGGGCTAACTTAGTCCTTTGAGATTTTCTAAGGTGCTGGACTATTTCAGGAGGTGGTTCTACTATCTCCTTAGGGATAGTATTCTTTGGAACACCGAGTAGCCCAACAAATCTCTAAGACATGCCCTATTCTCTAAGGTGTCGGCTCCTTCCCGTTTGTGGGAAGCGCGTGTACTTGTACAACCCATCAACTAACACCTAGACTGGTGTCTAGTTTACAATCTCTTTAAGATCTGGGTTATAAGGCTTAACGCAAGACACCATTTTACTTTATTCAAGTATTCTTGGTTGCGGAGGTGGTCATGTGGTTCTTAGGGTCCTAGTATTAACTTCGGAGAAATGCAGTCTATCGTCTATAGGGTGACGATGACTTTTCTCGCATGAGGAGGCGGCGAGTCATAGGCACTACTCGTCTGTAACGGGATGGACGAAGTGCCTGAGTAGTGCGAGTATTACTTGCAACTACTCTTCCGGTGCTACTGAGTTTTCTCTATCTGGATTAAATCTAGATAACATAAGATTCTGCTACACAGAATCTCTTATTTCTTCATCCATTCTTCTCAGAGTTTAACCTATCGCAGCTTTTAGGTTTTTGGGACTACTGCTGAGATGCTTAATTTGTGGGATTAAGCGTGAATGGATGGTCGTAGTCAATGTTCTTGACTCTTACGACTTGAGTTTCTTTTCCTAACTGAGGGTGTCAGCTACTATGTGGGCTTAACCGGGATGACAACAAATTTCGATATTGTGGTCATTTTAGTAACTTAACCCACAGTGGTTCTCTTGACTCCAACTCCTTTTCTATGGGATAGGATGAAGGGTCTTATCATAAGGTTCGTGGTAGACCTCATACTCGGTTTAATCACTAATACTCAGTGTATGCAAGTCGTATATAATTGAGATCGACGGGATGTTCAGTTGTGTGGCCCCACCCCAGACCCACAACCCAACGAGGAACAGGGAGTAGGGAGGAAGCACACATCTTAAATCTTATAGATCTAAATTATATACCACTCTAATGCATATACTCAGTAGTAGTAAGTTAATCCCGTGAGTTCCTTTCTCTTGATTCACAAACCTGGTTGTGCGGTGCTAAGGGTCTTTCTGGGGGATCTACTGAGTAGACTTCGGGCGGTCGTTGTCTTCTGGGATACCTGCAGTGCCTTTCACTTCAGGTTCTATCTGTCTAAGGAGGGATTGGTTAACAACGCGTGGTACCTTTCTCCTGGGTACTTCGGAAGGTTTGGATAAGAGAGACGACCGGCAGATCGCATTAGGTTTTATTATTAGGTTCGGAAGAACCTTTATTTGACGAATAGGCTACGGTGCAAGTTCTCTTTACACAGCACTAGGAATTTTCACATGGTCGCACTATGTCGAACCATGATTGACGGAAGTGTCGAATTTTAACGAACATCGACATGACGTGGAATGAAGATCGGTAGGACTATGTGCTGTACTGGGCACACAAGTTCTTAGCGTCTCGGGTTTCGTCCACGGTATCACTGACGCGGATACTTGGACCGATAGGATTGACGCGGAACTCTAGGGGTCCTGATATTTCGGAATAATGTACTTTTCATGAATGGATTTCTCACGAGGCCTCTCTATAATCGCCTAGTATACACTAGTCATGTATAACTGAGGTTAAAAGGACTGTTGACTGAGCGACTCCGCCCTAAATCCACAACCAAACGAGGAACAGGAGATAAGACAACATCACTCACTCTAGGTCTATCAATCCCAATTATACATGGCCTTAATGTATATACTAAGACATTATAGCTTTACCTAATGGGTTTTTGAACTTTTCAACAGTGCTGCGACTTTCGCCTTAACGAGGGAGTATTACAATTAGAATTTATTTATTAAAGTTCTCTGTTATCTACGTAGGATTGAGAGACGTACCAAAATTCTACCGGGTTCCTTGATGTTTCCCCTAGGCATTAGGGTTAGACTCCTCCTGTGCCTTTGTCATTTCTTTTGGTTGGGCAGTCCCTCTTGAAGTGCCCAATTTCACCACATGAGTGGCATACCGGACTGGTCCCCACATTGGTGGTTGATGTAATGAACTCAACTGGGGTCCTACAGAAGCGAGCGGTATGCCCCTTCATGTTGCACCTAACGCAAAAGAGTTCTCGGCAGATACCATGATGATGGTAGTTACACTTGCTGCAGCGGGGAAGGTTTCCTAAGTATGGTCTTCTTGAAGTCGGGACGGAAGGGTTGACAGGGGTATTGACTACCTCAGCTCGTTGCCCTTTGGAGGGTCCTTGAGTCGAGGTACTTCCTTCTTCGTTCTTAAACTTTCTCTTCAGTGGATTTGGTTGGGGGTCTTGGGTGGCTTTACACACCGGTGCTGGTTGCTGTTGTCTAATGCTTTGATCGGAAATCCCGATAGGGCTCCTGCTAACATTGGCGTTGTTAGCATTCAGGTGAGCCATGACAGCTGCTACGGCTGTTGAGACTGCAGCTTGAAACGTAGCTTCATCGAATAGGAGAGTCGATGTCTTACCAGCGGGTTGGTTACGTTTCTTTGGAGGCATGGTTTTTCCTACACGAAAAAGGAACACAAGCTGATGAGAGACGATGGTTAACCCTGGACGTATCTTTCTTTACTATGATAGGCATAAATTTTCCCGCGCCTCGAGTTATGGTTATCTGAGTGTCGACCTACATCCCTATGATGCAGTCTGAGTAACAGGATAGGAGGAAGCGTATCGGAAAGCCATAAAATGGGAGTCGTTCTTACTAAGTTATCTTTATACTGGAGAGGTTCACTCTCCGGCGTTGAAAAGATTTGGGAGAAGTTCGGAACGAAGATCACGAAAGAAAAGGCTCATGAAAACTTATGGCTAAACACTCTCAATCGAGGTTTTGAGATCCGATCTATTCGTATTAATTGCGACGGGAAAGACGATTTGCCTAACACATAGTGTGAGCAGTGTAATCACTAACTCACTAAATTGTATTATTTTATGGATTTATTAGCGTGACGGTAAAGAGGAAAAGACACTTCTCGGGTTCCATGTATTGGCTCCCTCTGTCTACCTTTTATCCTTGACTGGAACAGGCGTTGGTTTTCTTCGGGTATTTTCATAGGGTTCTCTTCTCTTGCAGACATATTGAATTTCTGCTCCGCCTTACTCCTGATTCTGACTCTGAGTGTCATCACTTCATGGTGGATGACTGGAATCTCGGAAGTTCAGGCGAATTTCCCACCGATATCCCTAAAAGGTATAGGCACATAGTGGTTTTCAATAGCCTCATCCTGGTTCATTTATTTCCTAATTGGAAATCTTTTCAATGAACCTCTTCTGGGTCTGAATCGACTCTTCTGCCGATCACTGAAGTGGATAAGGTTTTCTAAAGGGTTCGTGCGAGAATGGAAATGTCTAAAGAATCCTGAGAGATTATTAAAACATTTCACTGGGTGATCCATATCGAGTCCTGCTACAATTACATAGTGTACACAAATCATATATAACTTAGATCTGATAGGCCTTCGAATATGTGA